CAAGGTGATGTACACCGTGGGCTACTCGGTGTCGCTGTGTGCGCTGCTCCTCGCCCTGGCCCTGCTGCTGGGCTTCAGGTAGGGGTGCGGGCATGGCCGCCCAGCTGGGGTGCAGGCAGGGGGCCGGGGCAAGGGATGGGGGCCAGGCAGCGGCTGTGCTGAAGGGTCTGGGCACAGGCACTGACGCAGCTCCCCACCTCCGCAGCAAGCTGCACTGCATGAGGAACTACATCCACATGAACCTCTTCGCCTCCTTCATCTTGAAGGGCGTCTCCGTGCTGGTCATCGACGCCCTGCTCAAGACCCACTACAGCGACAAGATCGACGACTACAACGTGCACATCTGGCTGAGCGATGAGGTGAGCGGTGGGGCCAGCGGGGATGGGGGTGCGGGCAGCGCAGAAGCCCTGACCCCTGCCCACAGGCAGCCGCGGGCTGCCGGGCGGCCACAGTCTTCATGCAGTACGGCATCGTGGCCAACTACTGCTGGCTGCTGGTGGAGGGCATCTACCTGCACAACCTCCTGGTGGTGGCCGTCTTCTCTGAGAGGAGCTACTTCACCCTCTATCTGTGCATTGGCTGGGGTGAGTACGGGCGGGCTGGCTTCCCCCCGCACCATCCCTCAACCTCATCCCCTGCCATGCCTCACCTGCCCCTGCCTGCCTCCCCTCCAGGGGCGCCCATGCTCTTCCTCATCCCCTGGGTCATTGTGAAGTTCCTCTACGAAAACATCCAGTGAGTACCGGCACCTGAGGGTGTGCAGGGCGTGGGTGGGTGTGCATGGAACACGCTGAGGGTTGGTGGGGATGGTGTGACGGTGCCAGAGAGGCTCCATGCCATTGCCTGGTGCAAGCAGCAGGGTGCCAGGTCATGGTGCTTTCTCAGCTGGGGCTGCTGACGCCACACCAGGCTCTAGCAGCCACCCAGTCGAGGGGCTGCCCAGTAGTCCCCATCCCCACCCTCTGCAGGTGCTGGACCACGAACAACAACATGGGCTTCTGGTGGATCCTTCGCTTCCCCGTGTTCCTGGCCATCCTGGTGAGCCCAGGGCTGCGGCTCTGCCCACCTCAGCCCCTCATTCGGTGTCTGTGAGGGCCCTGAGCCTGCTGCGAGAGCGGCTGCCCTGGGCAGGGGACAGAGCTGCCCTGCCTGCCCCTGCCCTGCCTGCCCCGCCCCTCACAGCTCATTCCACTCCATTGCAGATCAACTTCTTCATCTTCATCCGCATCATCCAGATCCTTGTCTCCAAGCTCCGCGCGCACCAGATGCGCTACACCGACTACAAGTTCAGGTGGGCGGTGGGCATGGCCCCGGCCCTGCCCCCGCAGGCCTGTGGTGCACACGCTGGTGTGTGCGGGCGCGCCCACCCCGTGAACCCCCATGGCTGACCAGCCCCGCTCCACGCAGGCTGGCCAAGTCCACGCTGACACTGATCCCGCTGCTGGGCATCCATGAGGTGGTCTTCGCCTTCGTCACGGACGAGCACGCGCAGGGCACCCTGCGCTACGTCAAGCTCTTCTTCGACCTCTTCCTGAGCTCCTTCCAGGTGAGCCCAGCTCCACACAGGACCGGCCCTCCATGGGAACCCTCCGTCTCAGGAGGGACCAGGCCAGGGTTGGGGTCGGGATCTGGCCATGCACCTCTCACACCTCTCTTCCCTCTGCCCAGGGGATGTTGGTGGCCATTCTCTACTGCTTCGTCAACAAGGAGGTGAGTGGGACACTGTGGGAGCGGGCGGCCAGGGGGCTCGAGCAGGCGGTGGTCACAGGGCCGTGCTGACGGCAGCTGCCT